TTTATTGGTGCACAGCGAGAGGATCGAAAGTTAATCACGCTCATCTCCAAGTGCGAAGAGCAACCGGATAAGACGTTCGGATGCTATGTTATCGACTCTCGAGGCCTTCTTTGTCGGAGAGAGCAGACTACGTTGAAGCAAGACCGCCTTGTGAAGAACCGAATTGTTGTCCCCGAATCGCTTAAAAATTACGTGATCCAACTATATCATGACACACCTTACTCTGGACACCGAGGGACGGGCAAGACAAGTGAAAGGGTCCGAGAAAAGTACTTCTGGCACGGAATGCAAATGAAAGTACAGAACTACTGTGCCCAGTGTGTGTCGTGCATACGTCACAAAGCGTCCCACAACAGAAGGCGAGCCCCTCTACAAGTATTCGAAGAGGTTGCACACCCATTTCAAAGGGCAGGAATGGATATTGTGGGGCCATTTCCGACTACGACGGAAGGAAATCGTTATCTTCTGGTGTTTGTAGACCATCTTACCAAATATTCAGAAGTCGTCGCGATGCCAGACCAGAAAGCCGAAACTGTTGCTAAAAAGTTTGTGGAACTCGTAATCCTTCGCCATGGGGTGCCTCAGCAAATCTTGACAGATCAAGGCCCTAATTTTACATCAAGACTGTTCCAGGATGTATGCACATTGCTAAGGATACGGAAGCTACAAACAACAGCATATCATCCCCAGTGCAACGGAGCCGTAGAGCGACTTAACCAAACCTTGGTCTCAATGCTATCCCACTATGTGCGTGCTGACCAGAAAGACTGGGACCAATGGATTCCATATTGTATGTTCGCATACAACACAGCCAAACATGAAAGTACAGATGAGACGCCTTTCTACTTACTATACGGACGTAACGCTGATTTGCCGGATCTCTTATATGAGCCACCACCTGTCAATTACGATACACCTCAGAATTACTGCCATGAACTACGTCACAGACTTACAATGGCTCATGAAACAGCACGAGAGAAACTAGCCAAATCAGCTGAACACAGAAAAGAACTGTACGATCGAAATTCGCAAAGAGCAACTTACAACATAGGCGATCTCGTGTACATTGAAGTGAAGGCCGTTAAACGAGGAATATCAAAGAAGCTGTTTCCTAAGTGGGAAGGCCCGTACCACGTGATTCAAAAACTATCTGAGGTTACGTATTGTGTCAAGAATGCCCGCACTGGGGAGCGGAAAGTGCTCCACGTGAACAGGATGAGGAAAACGACGGCAGGCGAAACGCGAATCCCGGAGTTAGCAGACAACCACCACAAACGCTCTCAAGACGAGGGATGCTCTTTCTCATCCTTACCTCACAATTTGGCGCCACGGGGACCTGCCGGAAACGAAGGAACAACGGTCGGGTACCCAGATAGAGAGCAGATCGCACCGGGGATTTTCGAAGAGCTCGACGTGACCGGGAGAATGACCACCAATGTGCAGCAGACAATGCCCCCAATGTCTTCGGTTGAACGTATAGAAGAGTTGCCAATGGCACCCCCAGAACCTTCTGGAATGTCCCATTCTTACGCCCTCCGCAGTCGGGGACCAGTGTGAACAGAGTTCTCTTATACTGACAGATAGTTACCCGTGGTTGTTTTAGGGCGCGACATAGTATTGAATTCTTAGTGTGAAAGTTAGTTTCCCGCAGAACTTAATTGAATGTTTAGGCGGTTAGTTGAAGGTACAAAGGGGATTCTTGTTTCTAGATGTCTAAATTTTCTAGAAGGAAAATTTTTTTTGGGGTTGAGCGTGTGTGGTGTGCGAGAATGGTGCGACGGTGGGGGTAGAGAAGAAGAAGAAGAGGAAGAAAAAAGGAGGAGGACGGAACAAAAAGGGCCGGTTGGGCAGGCGGTGGAAGCCGACCTTCGGAAGCCTGAACAGACGCCGTCATCGACCCTGGGACTTTGCGAAGGGGTCCCGATCGACGTCGACCTCCATTCTTCTCCCGCGACGAGCAGACACAGAAGGAAGACGGCTGACTGTGAGTGATGCTGACGAACACTGACTGAGTCACCTACGTTGATCTGTGGATATCTACGGACTATGACATTTACTCTTGCTTCGTGTAGATAGTATTTCTTCTTCATTTATTCCAGTTTACTTTCTTATTTTTCCTACGTTTTCTTCCCGATTTCTTAATTTTATTCTAATTCTCAAAGTAAAACTTGTTCATATTCACAAGGTCTCCTAATTTGAAACGACCCTCTATAACATACACACACTCAGGTGTTGTGACGGATAGCAACGTCACATGAATATGCTCCTTGGTGCTTAAGCAATTTAGCGAAAGATCTATAGACCATTTCTAACAAAGCGCTTCTGGTCGATGCCATCTTGAGCGTTCGGGCGTGTGGTGCGTACATTGCTCGCCTTCCAAAGTGACCAACATGTGCGTGCTGGGCTGGGATCTATCACTAGACTGTGAATCTCGTAAACAATGAAAGGTATAGAGTGGAATGAACTGCACTCGTGTAGATCAGATGGCAGGTTACTGGTCATGAAGATCGTGCTAAAATGACAATTAAAAGAACTCTGCAATCACCAAGCCAAACATCAAGGTGCAATGGATTGCGTATAAAATACACAAATACACTGTTCATCTTCAAATAAAGGATATTTGCTTCAGTATACAATAATGCGTAAGGTACAGAAAGACATCATACAACTTTTAATTCAAAATATGTTAACAAAAGTTACTACAAGAATATGTACCCGTATCTTTTTTTTTTTACTTTTAGAGTAGAATGCAACGTGTTCAGACACCCATCCACGAGAGCACATGGGAAGGCAGTAATTCTATATAAGATTTAATTAAGTTTGGTTTAGCACACTCTACATTAGCTGTAAAATTGCATGCCTTCCCTCAATGACATTATTATTTTCATGGCTTTAAAAAGAAAAAATTTCAGCCCTATATAGAATTTCTCCGCAATAGAATAAACTAAAGACGTTTTCATCCCTTCTTCTGCAGAGAATATTGCACGCCAACCATTTGACAAACCAGGCAAAGGCTCTATCTGGATCTCAACACCTGCTCCATAAACCTCTGTAATAGTAGACAGGAATAGAAATATGTCGAAAGTCGTGTCAAAATTCAGACTTGAACTTTGTTTAGACGTGTCACTTCTCGTCTTCAACATATCGGCCGCGTGAGTGGAACTCTGAGAGTAGCCCGAGCTAGATTCGACGTCCTAAACAAAGCTAGTGTTCATAAAAATAATAAAAAATCACTGAACCAATTGTGAGTAACAAATGTGACTGCAAAATGTCGACAATAGATCGAGATTATGTATTATTTTTCCTGATATTATTAGCGCTCTTCTTTGGACGGATGTCGTAGTGGTCAAAGCCGGCTTGAGTTTGCGCTTGCCGCTCTTGAAGCTGTTCCAGCTGCTGAAGGATACTCAACTCATCCCGAGCAAAAGTGAAAATGTTTGACGTGACACTAGTTCTCTCGGCACACAGCTCGCGGAAAAGCACATTGACATGGCTGGCCTCCATTGCTGCCGCGGAACGCATTTTGTTTCTCGCGTGCAGGAAAACGAGGCTAAAAAAGAAGCTTTTTCCCGGAACTTTTTCGAGAATCTATTGTGGAGCACAGATCGCCACCGATTGCGAAGGAACTTTCAACCTTGAAAATGCGAAAAAATAATCTCGATCGCTGGACTTCTGGATCGCTGGATCGCTGGAGCCACTTCGCGTCTGCCCGAGTCGCTCGTCCGCCTGCCCATCCGTGACGTACGTGGGTAGGTAAAAGTAGGGATTTTTCGTCGTTGCCAGTAGGGAGTCGCCTCCTGGAACCTTCCCCGGTCGGCGTTACTTGAAAATTCAATAACTTAACGGAAAATTTTTATTTTTATAAAATATTTTGGTTATCACTTGGAAAAGGATTATTGATGCGATCTGCAAATTTTCAGCCAAATCGAAGTCTACCGAAAATCGGCGGCATTAAAGGGCAACTCTGGTAATATATTTAATTTAGGATTACGACTGTTTTCAGCTAAAGCAGAGTCCTTGAACTACAAGGTATAATTTGTTTTCGATATGTTGTGTCGTTTTATAAATATCATGGCTAAAAATTTGGTTTCTGGCATTCACGGCAAAACCGAAACTATCTGCTGAAAGGATGGCAACACTGATCATCAGCCGTCTTCGTAGACTTAGGCTAGGTGGCGCAAGTTACCACCCGTTTGTAACGGGCAGTAGCTTGGGTAGAGTTCGTTATAAACGGCTGACCCCTTCATAACGGGCGGTACGCGCGTTATAAAGGGTACTGCGGATAGCATCCGGCCGGGACGTGACGCCAGAAGGGCGCTGCGGTACGCGGTACAACCAACCGAGTGTGCTGCAGCAGTGTTCCTTGACTAAAAGCCACCTCGCTTGCTGCCCACCAAGAAGCGGCTGTTCGTATTTTTAAAATCGGTTTTAGTGGAGTACGCAGCTTCCTTTGATGGAATATTTCGTGCCATTAAAGCGATACCAGCCGTTTGTTTTGGTTAAGTTTTCTAGCGAAGTAACCCTTTAAGGTGTTGCGCACAACGCTTCGTCTCACAAATATTTCCAGTGGTGACGAAGGCATCCGCGCGAACGCATGGCTTTTAAAAGTGCCTTATCACGCTAGTTGTCGTCCAAGCAAAGCCTTAATTATCCTCAGTAAGGCATGGTGCCTTGGTCTGCATTATAAAAAAGGAAGAAAAAAATTGTGACAGGAAGTAGGTTTGCACGCGATGTCCTCACTTCATGTTTAAGGTCATTCCTAGTTGTTCTCGCCCCGAAAAAATAAATTCGTTAATTCCAAATGCGCACCGAACAAGCTACGCACAGAGCAGCAGGGACGCCGTAATGGCAGCCGATCTGACGTCAATACAATCCTTGTATAAGTATATAACGCACTAATCGGAAAATACCGAGCACTTTTTGTTGTATGTCAGTATTTAAAGGAAAAGCTAATTCTGACACTCCCGCTTGACTTTTCAACAGAGGCGGGCAGAGAGCGCGTCAAGTTGGACCATGGAGAGATTTTCCCCCGACCTGATGCTCACAGCCCGGCGAGAGCTTGGTGAAACGCCGAAAGTCAAGAGGGACGCTGTGGCTCAATTGCGGACACTCCTCGCCGGTAAATGGAAACAAAATTGTAAAACGATTTTAAGACCGGACAAATAGATTCAGCTCTTAATGTACAATGGGAGTATGAGGGGATACGAAGGGTCTATGCGGTTTTGGAAACGAGTCATGGTGTCGACAGCGTCGTTCAGCAGAGTCGTGCTGTGCATTAGGTGAGAAGTTTAATTAAGCTTTCAGGCCAGGAGAAAGAGCGTGAACAGGTTATCATTGTCAGCATTTGGGAAACACATGAAAACGATTGCAGATAAAGAAAGGCTAGTTATCTTTTGCAGCACATAAAAATTCACGAGACTGAACTTCATCTAAACACTGATTGAAAAACATAAATGAACTTTATTTTAACACTGACTGAAATACAGCATTCACAATGGGCGCGTTAAATATGTAAGAATAATGTGCTTGCAATTTTAACAAAGAATGGACAAAGCGAGCGGAACTGATGAGGCTTAAATTCCTGCAGACTGAGCTGCCTGTCGCTTTCAGAAATGAGCAAGAAACCCACCAAGAATATGTGAGACGAATAAATGCCAAAGAAATCAGCAGTAATCATAATATAAGAAGCGCCCAAAAAATAGCACGAACAAGCAATTGCTCGCTTCACTGGTTTTTCTCTTGATGTTGAAGGGCTGCAATAGTAATTATTTGTATTGTGTGAGAATATTTATACCGGTCACCAACCCAATGCAGTAAAATTTTACAGATGTTGGTATCTGGTGGGAACGAAATACAAGAAAATGAAACACCGATGTCATGTTTGAGCTAAGGGCGTTGCGCAATGGAAACTAGAAAAATATCGTTTGTTTGACACCTCATTTGAGAGCTGTTGCTGTTTGAAGCTATGACAGGATTGTTGGAAACTAAGGCGTATAGGGTAAAGTTTGAAGATATTTATTACTTATTAAAGCGAGAATTCAACAATAGAACGTAAAGTTTCTAAATGCAAGGAACAAGGATCAGGCTTTTTAAAGGGGGGCAAAAGTGTTTCTGGCAAGAATGGGAGAACGGAGGATAAAAAGATTGCAATCACGAAGAGTTGGAACGAGATTGGTAGAAAATTATTGGGAGGTGTGGATCTGTACTCAAATTCGGCGGCTATGTGATTTAAATAGAGATGGAACTTAGGACACAATGTGCGACAATGTTAGGGCAATTATCTGTGTCTGTGTTCGTCCTTATGTGTTTTATTATTTTTGTGTATTCTCTAATGTTAGGGGCGGGGAAGCACCTAGCATTGAGCATTCACTTGCACCAAAACCCTTTGTATCAGGAAAATCGCTCCCGAAAAAAACTAGTAGGACTCTCTTTAGCCTGTTTTTAGTCTCTAAGCGGAGCAAGCTGCCGCTCAATGCTAAAGGTATGGCCACTACCACGCTGGCTTGGAAACCGGGTGATGTGCACACACCAGCACCAAAATGGCGGCGCCTAGAGACCGAACTTGTAAATCTGTACAAATCAGTAATGTTTGTCTCCGCTGGTCAGGGTGAGATACCGGTAGGTTAAGTTGTGATAAAATATGCTGCACTCCGTGCATCCATGACAGAGGACCTGGCGCTGAAATGCCCCCTGGACGAGGAGTTCTTGGTGAAGTTCCTGCGTTGCCGAAAGTACCGCGTCAAGGAAACCTTGGAAGTAATCCGGAAGTACTTCCACGTCCGGCGAGAATACACCGACGTCTACAATAATCTACTGCCATCACGCATCTTGTTCGATGCGATATTCCGCCAAAACAAACTCATCTCCATTCTCAAGCAACCCGACCCTCAAGGGAGGCTGATAGCCTGTTGTAAGCTGGGTAAGTGAGAGGCTCAATGAACCAGTTGCTTTACCTTCAATTCGTAGTGCAGGCAAAAAGCGATAAGTGAGTGATACTTAAACGCTTTATACTAATCATCAATCTAAAAACACCTTTTTGTCGATTCGTCTCCGGATTAATCCACGCAAGCTCTTAAATACAATTCTTCATGAGTCCTCTCGCCTGTTGTTTAACAAATTTATGCAATTTAATTCCTGACGTCATACAAGTCGCAAACATACAAACACGATTGTCGTACCCTACTGTTGTGCCGAATGTTTTAAAAAATATTTTTCACACGCACAATTGACGAATGGAACAGTCTTCCAGCTCACATTACAAGTGCCTCAACTATTCAAGAGGTTTCGACAGCGCTTTAGTGTTACTTTTCAAGTTCATCAACTGTTTAGTCACTGTTTGGTATTTATTTTTTGTATTGTTATAAATTGCTTGTTATGTGTAATTCAATTGTCAATGCCTCCTCCTGCCTTGGCAGCTGGCAGCAGCCAAGCTGGCAGCTAAAAGTATGTGTAAATAAAATAAAAAATAAAAAAAACTATAGAACGCATATTCCGCAGCCATGGCTCGGGAAAACCAAAAGGGCCTGTGTTTTCATCACGCACAAGTTAGCATTAGAGGCTGCAAAACTGCGAGCTCGAATAAAAGAAAAATCACTGTATTGCGCTTATATGTGACTAGTCGTGCGCTCCGTTAAAGGGGTACTCCGGCGATTTTTTGAGCTACCTCAACTAACTATATTTTCTGACTCCCCGGCCTTTACCCTTTTCCAGTATGCTATCTAGTATCGCGAAATTCATAATAGTTATTGCGAAATCGGCGCAAATGAAAATGATGCAAAAACCAACATTCAAATATACCCGCACTTTTCAGTGCCGTGACGTCAGTGGCGGGCAGGCTTGCCAGTCGAGTGAGCAGTCTAAAAAACAGAATATGCCGATCATTTGTACCGTGCTGGAGCGCGGGGACTGGAGCGAGCTTCTAAAGCATTCATTTGACACCATGAAACTGCTTCGAATCAGTTGGGAACAAATTCTAAAGTCCAAAGAGTGAACCCCTGCACCAACGTTACTAAAACACTCAGTTGGGAAACTCCCATAGAGACAGCTCTGAGAAAGTGGCCCCAATCTGTCTCCGAGCACCGAGCTAATGACGAACACAACGCCACCGTTTCTCCCGCAGCGGCCACTCGAGGAACTTCACGTGACTTCTATTATGGCTTTAAGAACAGATACAGCGGTAGAGGTTACAGGGTTTAAAGAAAAGTTTATTGACACTGTAAACTGCAAGACGTAAATCACACCGGTATACAGGGGTGCCACCCCCGTCTCCCCAGCGGACGCGCCGCGTTCAACTACCGAAGTTAAAATGCACCTAGGGCGGGACGCGCTACCTGAAAGGCCCGCTGGGGCATGGTTGTATAAAAACAATATTAATTGGGCCGCAAAACCCTGCAAACTAAACATTTTAAAAACATAACACGCCCCTCTTTTTGTACTAAATTCCAATAAATTTCATACAAAAAGAGTCTTTTTCGTTTGTTTTTACGCAAAAACAGGCTTTCAAAAAGCTCAAAGTGACGTGAGACTATAAAAAGGCTCTGCCACAGCTGTTACATAAAACTGCTGTGGCAGAGCCTTTTCCTGGCGTCTAGTGTTTCAATAACCTCAACCGAAAATAAGTCTCTGGACAATGATAGTATGGAGAGTCACCCCTTATCCTTAACATGAACACTGAAAAAAAAACTATATTTTCAATTGTTTCAAATGACAAGAAATTGTCCCTAGACGTCACCCTCAAAGTTCAAAGATGAACGGCTACGTAACCGCGACGCAAAAAGAAATAATTGGGAAGCCCGCATATGAACTACCAACTCGATTTGATGTCATAGTTGACGAACTGGTGCCCCCCTGCTAGTTATTGCTGTCCCCAAAACAGAAGTGACTAACTTACGGCTACATAAATATACATACAATATAATAATTTATATAATTATTGTCGTAACACGACTGGATGGACTGTATATGGCCCACGAGCAGAGAGGACTGGGGCAATGATCTACCATTTTGATCCACCAAGAAATGCGGGAAGCGACGGGCGCTCTGCAGAATACGCTGCGGTGTGCGGCGTGCGACCGTGGATGTGTTCCAAAATTTACTCGATCCTACTCCAGGATAAGGGTTTTGTACGTTGGCGTTCTAAAACCTACCCGCGTTCAGCGTTTTTCAATCTGTGTTGTCACGTGACACGACCCGCCGGAGTAACTCGGATCCATTTCAGTAAGATTTGGAACACGGCCCGAGGTCAGCGTTGGAACGCCGGTCTGTCGGTGGTAACCCCCTCCCTCCGAACTGTGCGCGTGCGCTTGGCAGTCACTTTGGATCATTTTGTGCACTTGACCCCTTCGCCGCTAATGCGGAGTTGGGGGTGAAACGAAAAGGAATGCGGCACTGTGGCTCCGCCGTTTCGTCACTCGAAACCATGGTGCCGGGAACGCTTCTCTGGCTGGTGTGTTTACTACGTCCTAGAACGCAGTGTTGTACGAAACGGCGTTCCAAGGAACGACGTTCCTGAAACGCCTCTCGGGAGGCACGGAGGAACGCCATCGTTCCCTCTTGCGTCGGCTGAACTGGAACTATGTAAGGCTTCGAGTAATTTGCAGCAGGTACGGCGTTCCTCTATTATCCAGAAGTTTACCCGACTTTAGTACCCGACTTTAGTAGGAATCTGTTATTTTTGGCGACAATTTTAACTTCTAACTTCAATAGATTGGGAAGTGTCCGAGAGTCGAAACCAAAGAATTGAGGCAAATGTGATCGTGGCGACTGGACACATTGTTCGATATCTGATTATATTCGCTCGCTTATCTATTTTATCTGCAAATTATACAGCACAATTTTTTTAATTACGCAAATGTGACGTTGATTTAACGACACCTTTGAATCTTAAAAAAAAAAAGGAGTTATTGGAACGCATTTTTTTCTAGCCGCTGGAACTTGTAATGGGTACCTCGTTCCCAGATAGAGAAGGAACGAGAAACGAGCTGTAGTTCCTGCTTTGGAGGAACGTGGACAACATCGCTAGAAAGTACTCCCTCGATTTCTGCCTGATGCGTTCATAGAAGCATCATCTTGACCGTGACCCTGGCGGCCAGGTGGTGCCATCGCAGCGGTGGCGGATGGACCAGACGCCGGTTCTATGGCAAGCCGCTCTCCATCTGGACACAGTTCACGTAAACTTCGACAAAAAGGAGTTTGGGGCTCTCCAACGGCAGTGACACTCGCGTTTGCTCGTACCTTCTTTCCGAGAATCGTAGCGCCAACCATCATGATTACGACATCCAACAAGATGACACGCCGGCATCTCTGACGTTTTTTTTTCGTAACTTTGGGACCGTTTTGGATTTGCGGACGGGGGAAGACGGTAAACACACACGTCCAAGACGCGTCCCCGGCACCGCACTCTAAACACGACACAACGTAAGCGCGTCTTGACGTTTTTGCGCAGTTGACGTTTCCATCCTCGTCTTCGAGGGGGACAATCTTCCGGATTTTTAGGAACGATCACATAATACCAAACCCAACTTGACTGAGCATGTTCAATAAACAACTTCCTCAAAGTACGAATGTCCAACGGCATGGAGCAAGTAGGATGAGCAAAGCGACTGCTGGTTTCTGGGTCTTTCCCAGTGCAGCTGGTTCAGCTCACCCGCCGAAAGTCGCCATATAGTTAATAAGAAGACAAGGAGAAGGCAGCAGAGTGCTTACCTCTGCCATTTTCAGCCTAGTTCTGAAAGGTCTTTTAACGAATCCCCCTAATCTCAAAAGTTCGCCCGTCCGTCCGTTTATCCGTCGATGCACTTTCCCGCTAAATTTAGCGGTGAAATTGGCTCTAAGTGACGTGAGACTATAAAGTGGAGCAGCAACTTGACACAGCGATGTTGCGTCATGTAATCTGGTAACGTGACGCCAGATGCCTGCTAAATTTTCAATTTATATGTCTGATGTGCCGTGGGGTAGCAGTGACTTAAAAGCAGTAATCCAATACGTTATTTAAAAAAAAAAAAAAGAAACGCTATGCATTTTTGGTTTTCACAGTGACTCTTTCAAAAGATGAAAGGGACCGGTGAAGGTCAATACGCATATTGTTTACCTTGTCAAGTATCATCAAGCTATAATCGGCCCCCGTATTTTCGAGACCCCCCCCCCCCCCCCCCCCCCCCCCCAGCATCTGCCACAGAGCAACACAGTGAGATTGAAACGCTTGCGAGAACGCAGCACGAAACAAAGTGGTCGGGCCAAAACGAGCTCCATTCATTTTTTATAGCGATATCTTTTAATGAAAACCCTGAATGAACTTTACTTGACCGTGTGGTTTGTGGTCGCACCGCAGCATGGCCGTGGAAGAGATTGTCAGCAACGGGGCGCAGAATTTGGCTTGACGTCAGAGGGCGCGCGACCACTTGCGTAAGGCCGCGCTGAAGGCCGGAATGGAATGGTGTAAATTGTGCGCTAACACTTTCCTCTTTTAGCCCCCCCCCCCCCCCCCCCCATTATTTCCTTTCTTAGCGTAGGCTGTGCAGGAACGGCACTGCGCAGTAAGGTGGAAACTACGTAATGGCACAAAAATCTAGTAGGCGCGGAGGCATTTCGAAGATCAGCTTGTTAAAACTCTATCAAGTGCTACCTCGACTACATTGCATCCTGTAAATTTTAAGCCAGGTGATTCATTTTCGCACAACCTTTGTCGAGAGTACATCAGTATATTCATGTCTCTCTTTCCTTTTAGGTGTTTGGAATCCGGATGTTTGCCCGCTCGTCGAGTTCCTCAGAGCGGTCGTTGTTTCAGCAGAATGGACCCTGCTGAACCAGGCGTTTCAAATCGCAGGAGTCGTGGCATTGGTGGATATGGAAGAACTTCACCTCACTCACCTTCTTCACTACACACCGTCGGAAATCAGAAGGGTGTTCAAGCTAGTTCAGGTACAACTGCCAAGGTTTACATTTATTCGGCGATTGCAACAACTGCAAGACGTGCGTAGAGTCTTTAAGAGCCACCCCTGTAACATTGCTCCTAATTAACAGTATGCATACTATACTGATATCGTACACCAACGCACGTTTGTAATGCCAGGAACACACGTGCCAGCTAATGACACTTTTTGTTGAATGGGTGATGCATTTCTTGATTTAAAGAAAACATCCCTGAAAACCACGAATTTATTTTCTTGGTTACCATACAGCACACATGTTGTGAACTACATTGATTCCATGATGGTTCAAATTATCAAAATTATTAGTAAAAAAACAACTATGACTGTGACCGACGAAAAGAATCAGGATCCACTGTTCATTTTATTTTATTTGCCTCATGGGTAGATATTATTAAATGAAAACCACATTAAGAATATACATCTTATCATTCACCACTAAAAAAGGCGCAACAACACAAAAAAGCGAAACCGGATTTCGGTCGATAAAGATATTGTCATTAAAGTGATAATAACAAAACTGACGACGGTGCCCAGGCAACACAAAATCGTGCAAAAAAAAAACAATTTAATAATCTCGCGCTTCAATAATGCAGTGAAATGCAGATCAGACTCAGCAATTATGGAACTGTTTATAATGGTCTTTAAATAATATGGCATACTTGTACAATGATGCATGCTCCAGTTGTTGTGCTAGTAATGAGTACTATCTAACCGTTTAGGTAGAGGATTTAGTTACTGACTTTTGTTTTACATTTGCAAGTGTTAATGTGGATTTGCTACAAGAAGAAAAATGAAGATATTGCACTCATATCGTCTAGAAGGATATTGTAAATATTGTGTGTAGTGTTTTTCCTCTTTCCTATTAATAACACAATCGTCCGCGAAAAGTCTAGTTGGTAATTCCAAAGCAGAAGAGAGGTCACTTATATAGATTAGAAAGAATAAAGGCCCGAGGACACTACCTTGGGGGACACCAGATGCAACTGTGGTCGAACGCGATGTTGATTCATTATTACCACTTGGTTTCTTGTTCCAAGCAAGAGCTACTGCGCACGCCCAGAACGCCTTCCATAGACCAGTGGAAATAGATGACCGCACACAAAAGGCGTTCAACGAAAAGGGCTATAGCAGATAGGCTCCAAGATATATTTGTCTTTTTAATTGCAGGAGTGCTACCCCGTGCGCCTCAGGGGTATCTACGTCGTAAACAACCCTCCAGTCTTTCAGCTCTTGTACGCTCTCGTCAAGTTGGTGCTGAAGCCTAAGCTTCAGAGGAGGGTAAGGAGTTTCGCGGCGCTCATTTAGAGCGACGAAGAATATTTGACGCATCGCATTGAGCTGCTATGTGACAGCGCCACAAAAATCAGCTCTGTTCATGCTTCTACCAAAAACTTCCACAATATGTTTATTAGAAATTGTGTGTATTGAATCTCTACAGTCCGCGGGAACTAAGATAACAACCTGATTTTCTATCGTTTGCTATGTACTGTCTAGAAGTAATATTTTTGAGACTGAAATATACGCGGCTTTCACTTACGTCACATGGGCTACCGTTGTAGGGGCGTTGGTGCCGAGCACGTACCTTTGCAGCCTATTGGGCAGGAGATCGAACTATAGGGGGCGCTCTGACCCGTTTGTTTTCCCCACGCTCGGTGTTTACTCAACACAAGGCCTGTGCACATGCCAACAGGCCTTATGGGCATGGCCATGTCATCTTCTACAATAGAGCGCGGGGCACAGTTTAATGTAAAAAAATACTAACAATCGACGAAGCGACGTTAAGTGCCGGATCTATCCTCAGAGAATGGGAGCTTGACCCACTTCGGCTTTTGTGCTAAGCTGGGATCGTGCATGCTGCATTGTTCATGCAGGCCCTAGTGGAAACAAAAGAGCCCCTCCTCCCCCTCGCCGGAGAACACGAACTCCAGCCGAACGCTGACGCCGCGCTCGGTTATGTCGGCCGAGCGCTGCGTCATTGTATTTGTTGTCCCCATCCGTGTAGTTGATAAGTTAACCGCTTGGGGCGTCACGGTCTGTCCTCCTCCCCAATAACTTACACCGTGCTCGCAGAAAAGGATTTTTCTTTTCTGCGAGCACAAGTAAAAACTACTTGTGCTTGCAGAAAAAAATGAAAGCCGTTTACAATTCCCTGTAACGCCGGTTGGAGCAGAGCTCTTGAGGAGGAGGATGGAAACGTACTGAGGGACAGGTGACTCCTTAAGGTCACGTGACCTCGTGGGAGGTCGGATGACGTCAACGGCGTCACGTGACCTCGGGGGAGGGGGGTCACGTGACCTCAAGAGAATCACGTGACCTCAGGGGGTCACGTGACTTCAGGGGTCACGTGACCTCAGGCGGTCACGTGACCTCGGAGGGGGGTCACGTGACCTCGGGGGAGGGGCTCGCACGGTGTATTATGGGACATTTCCCATAATGCACCGCGCGGTTACGCCGACGGCGACGCCGACGCCGACGCCAACGCCAACGCCGACGCCGCTCAAGCTGGAAACGGGCGCCTAAGAGCTGCGCTCTAAAAAAAGTTTCACAGCGCGGTGAAGTAAGGTTCTAACTTCTAGCCCACTAAATATACGGGCAAAAACAAGGGAGAGGAGGATACGAGCGCGTGGGGGCGCCAGAGCTCCGAGCTTTGGTTGGAATGGTTGGCGGGTAGAGGAAAAGTTAACTTTCTTTCCCTCTATTCACTGTTTGAAAGCGTTCGAGCGTAACCACCGTACGCCGGCGCTTGGCGTCTGAGTGCGTTCGAAGGGTGAGTATAGAGACAACGGCTGGCTAATCTTTCCAACCAGAGCTCGGTGTACAGACTTTTTCGGCCACTCTCATCTTCCCTTTCCCAACCGTTTTAGCCGTGCGACGAGGCGTGAATTCGAATTTTTGTACAATAAGCTCTAACTGTTGTAAAAAAAACACACACACAAAAAAAGAAATCCCAGTTGCTTTAAGATATTTGACTCGCGGTTTCCTCTAACAAAGCTAATTGGGGATAAAACCGGTGCCTTCCTTTCGTTTCCAATTTTATCGAACAGATTTTAAAGGCTTTACGGAGAGCAAGCTTTTCGCGCAGGAGTTGCGGTGACGCCGGAAAAACGCCGAGCTATGATCGGTATTCATTGAAGAGTAGTGGGTAGACCTCAAAGCAAGCTGCCTTGAGGTCTACCCACTATCCTTCGTTCAGAACCAATTAGAACTCGGCGTCGTTCTGACGACACCACAACCCCTGCTAAAGAAGCAGAAGAACCTGTGCTCCGCGTATACTCACTGGCCTCTTAAGAAACGCATTACGTGACGAGCCCCGATAATCTTCCTATCGTTCTGCAGCTGATATGATTGCGGAAATGTTCGATAAGGAAAGCCGCAACCGAATCATGAAGCAAGAAGCTTGAAAATATTGAGGCACGCCCTGCCTTTCTTGAACTGTCAGAGGATATATGTGGGAAGAAGCTGAGGGAGAGTGTAGGAGACGGGAGAGCGCGGGGACACCAGAACGGCGAGCTCTGATTGGACCGCTTAGTGGGTAGACCTAAAGCTAGCTGCCTTTGTCTCCGCTGCACTGTTCGAACCCGTTCGAACGGGAACGCCGGATGCCAGCGTTGCGCGTTCTAATGCGCTACACAAATGCAGTCGGAGACAGAGGCAGCTAGCTTTAGGTCTACCCACTAATCATTCCAGTCAGAGCTCGCCGTTCTGGCGACCCTCAGCGCTTTTGTTTCCTCCTCTCACCCAGTTTCTCTCAACTGCAGATCTCACATTTTGGGTCGTCATCTTCTTTCAGATACACATCATTGGGCGCGACTACCAGAAGCTTCATAAGCTCATTCCTCGCGAACGACTGCCCGAAGAATACGATGGCACCCTGGAAAAATACGACTACGACGATCTTGAAAGGAAGTTGCTAAGCCAAGAAAACTTTTTTGTGGAGCTTGGCAGCTACGGCTACCAGTAAAGACAGCCAGGGAAAGAATGGACTGGAGTGAATAAATCATCCGAGTGCGCTTACAAGAGCCTGGCCAAGCAACTAGCCTGCGCAATGCTCTACATTGTCTAGTAAGAAAATAAATATTTACCCGCAGGTTTCCGTAGCACCAATTGAAGTGAATTAAATGAAAATCTGCTGCGTCATCGTTGGGTTGGAACTCGTGTTCTCACTGACTGATCAAGGGTCTCAGACGAATCTGATGCAGTATTGAAATCTACACCTCTGCTCGAGTAGCTCTCCGGCAAGCAACGCGGGACATTCGACACTACGGCGTTAATATCCATGAGCATAGGTCGGCATTATCAGCTGACCTTACAAACACTCGCGATCACTTCAGCTTCCCTCATCAAGACTCACTCACAATCACGACTTATTCAAAACAGCGCCATCAAAAACAGTCACAATCAGAATTCAACGCGAAACTAAACCTCACTTCCAGTCAGAATCACAATTTATGCAAAAAAGCGGCTCACCATCACGAGTAAAGACGAGACAAAAACACGCTCTCTTTCGTTATCGCACTTAGAGATCACCAGACTCACGTTTCATCACACTCAAAACTCATCACGATCATCACACAGCTCATCGCGGTCATCACACTCGTAGCTCAGATCGCTCATCACACACCACAGCTCAGTGCGCTCATCACACTCGCAGCTCATCACGGTCATCTAACTCATTCACACACTTACCCACTCGCTCGCTCTATCGCTCGTTCACAGAGTGACTCACTCACTCGCTCACTACCTCACTCACTCACTCACTTACTCACCCATTCATTGACTCACTCACTCACTCACTTACAATCACGATTTATTCAAAAGAGTGTTATCACAGTCACCACAAGAATTCAACGCGAGTCTAAAACTCACTTGCACTCACAATCACGATTTATGCAAGACAGGACCATCTTACATGAGCATGGCAAAGCGACTAACCTGCGCATCGCTCATTCACTAACACAATTAATTCAAAGTAGGGTCATCACAGAGAGTCACAATCAAAATTCAAAGCGAAACTAAAACTCGCTCGCACTCACAATCACGATTTATTAAAAACAGGGCAGCTCACATTAGAATGGCCAAGCGACTAACCTGCGAATCGCAGTGGGTGTATATCACTCACTCACTCATTCACTCGCCCACACTCTCAGTCACGATTTTTTCAAAACAGTCATCACAGTCACCATCAGAATTCAACCCCAATCTAGAGTTCACTCCCACTTACAATAATGCTCTATGCAATGCAGGGCCCTCTTACGTGAGCATGGCCAAGTGGGTAATCTACGCATCGTAGCATATCGCTCAAACCACTCACACTCAAATTTATGTAAAAACGAGTCATCACAGTCACCTCCAGAATTAACCACGAAACTAAAACCCAAACCAACTCACTATCGCGATTTACGCAAACCAGGGCCATCTTCATGAGCATGGTCAACTCACTCACTAACTGACTCCCTCACTCACACTCACATTTATTCAAAAAGGGCCATCTGACATGTGTATGGACAAGCTACTAACCTGCCCATTGCCGGGGGTGTATATCACTCACTCCGCTCGCTCACTTACTCCCTCGCTCTCTAACAGACTAACTCAATATCTCTCTCACTCAATCACTCACTCACTCTCACAGTCACTATTCATGCAAAACAGGGCCATTTTACATGAGCATGGCCAAGCGACTAACCTGTGCATCGCAGATGGTGTATATCACTCACTCACTCACGCGTTGCGTGATTTTGATAACGCGTCCTTGAACATCGCTGGTCTATTTTGCTTTCCCTCTTCCCCCCTCCCTCCCTTCTTGCCTCCCTCCTTCTCTTTCTCTTTCTCTCGCGCGCGCGAGCGCGAAAGAACGGAGTTTGGGCCCCAACCGGTGCTCCCTCACTCCATACCTCGCTCGCTCTTTCCCTCTCTCTCTTCAACCTTTCCTCTCCCCCTGTTTCTCTGCCTCCCCCCTCTCTTTCTCTCCTTCTCTCTCGCGCGCGAGCTGAGCTGGCGCAACAGGCACTTAAGCACCATACGCACATTCGCGTTTGAACGCGTTTGAGTGCGTTGCGGAGTCCTTGCGGCCAGGCGCGGTCGCTTGCGGACCGACGCGCGCCTTCCTGCAACGCTCGGTAGCGCGACGCAAGCGAGTAGAGACTCGTTCAACTCTCCGAAGCGTTGCGGTGCGTTCGGGCGCGTTCGACCAATCAGAAGCCGAAAGAGGAGAGGGGGTGACGTGTTCGCTCCGGCCGACTCGGCGAGACGTATCCGGTTCGCCGGTCGCAGAGCTTGCTTTTTCGTTTTGGGGAGCGGTGGGGACTGTATTTTCCAAGGCTGCGATGGTTCAAGCTTGACAAAACGTCGGGGAAGCCGGCGAGATTGTCCCAAGATCGAACGCTTCGACGCTGTCGCCGTGCGCCGCCATGTTGCCTTGGATTTCGCTTACTATTGGTGAGCCACTAGCGACGATAGCGCGTTCTTATTGGCTCTTGACTGCGGTTGACTGCGTGTCAACGCAACTGTGCGTACAAGTTTGGCGCAAGCGGTCTTCGCAACGCAACGCGTCCGCTTGCCGCTACAAAACGCACCGCGCTCAAACGCGAATGTGCGTATGGGCCTTTATGATTCAGCCACAATCGCTTTAGCCAGAGGCGTTGCGTCACCTTGAAGACACGACTTTGAGGGCAGGACCTTGAGGACACGGCCCTGAGGACACAACCATGGGGACATGACCTTGAGGACGAGGACGTGACCTTGGGCGTGCTTTGGCCTATAAAGCTACCGTTTTAAAAGTAAAGCCTTGTGAAAGTTTGATAATTCGGAAATGCTATTCTCGAAATAAAACAGGATTCCCGATCAAAGTTGGAAGTTAAGCTACACGATGTTGGTATAGATAGCTTAAGGAACATATGACAAAACACCGAAGGTGATATGCAATGGTCTTCATTCGAATGCAGGAAAGCTGTTATTAGATATAGTTCGCATAATGACCATTGCAAACATGGCGCCCCGACAATATGCCCCATGAGTGCAGGAACTTGCAGCCTACGCGTGAAGATAGCTTTGACAAGCTTGAAATTGCACGGGCTTGTCCGAACGACCAGGGACATGGCGGCGGCCAGTGGCTTTGCTTGCAAAACTGAGGGGAAAGAAATGAGAAACAATTGGCACTTGGAAGTTTTTTGTTTTTTTTTTAATATTTGTGCACAAGGAGTTTTGACATAAGATGGAAAAGGCAACTTATAAATCTCAGATAAAAATCTGTGGCTGGAAGTAGGGGTCAAACTTGGACGTAGTTCAACTACTCTACTCAAACTACTGTAGTTTAACTACTTTTCCGAGTAACTTGGTAACTTTCAATTCCAACTTTATTTGGGTAATTAGTAGTTTAATTTAACTACGTTTTTTGAATAACTTCTACTCAAATTACTAACTACTTTCGAAATCTACTGCTAATTTTGCTCATCACGAAAGTTTGAACGCAGAAATAAATAAGACGCCGGCAGATGAAGTGGCATTCCCGAACAAGAGGCCCCCTCACATTCCGTTCCCACGCATTTATACTTGGCAGGCGGCCGTAAAACTGCATCACAGGCGTCCTTGGGACAAGGTGGCGACGAGCAGCCAAAACAAAACACCGGCGCGCACGAACGCAGGAAGAGATGCTTAACAAGCCTTGGTCGGGTATTGACCTAACCCGGTAATGCACGCAGGCGCCGCGCCTCCAGCTGCAATCGTGAAAAACGGGGACACTCCGAGGGTTGTTGTTGTTTTCATGTTGTCTGCCTTTAGTGAGTTCTCCCGCAAGCGGTTTGGGGGTTCCACGAGAGGCACCAAAGGAATGACCTCGCAGCTGGACGCCTGTTCCCATGGTCGCCTCGTCGTCAGCGCATACTCGCTTGCAAAGCCGGACTCCCCCGCGCACAAACGCAGACACGGATAATTCGTTCATGGGAGCTCGTTCCCGCTTCCAGCTGCGACTGTACGAGCGACGATGCTTGTTCACGTTATCCTTCGCGTCCTTCCGACTTTCCACGCCAGGGAGACCTCCTCTTTGTTGAAAACGATGTACTTGTAAGGCGTGTCAGGCGCGTCAGGATACCGTAGTCGGCTACGAGGATTGCAAGTCACCCTTGGGAGATCCTTTTGTTAGACCCGGCGTCAGCGGCGAACTATATTTCGTTTCATGTTCTGTTAAATCAAAATAATCTTTTTCAGTAGCGTAGCACTAAGGTGCCTTCATGTCCCGCAGCAAACATGAAGGCACTCCACGTAGCACTAGCACTGCAACGAGATGCGCAGTCACTCGGATGATCTCATCGTCGTGGCGTGAGACTTGAACACTTAACGGTCAAGTGCACTTGCCCAGCGTACTCTCCGAACGTCGTGGGAATAAAGTGGGGCCAGTCATAATAATCTCAACTAGCGAAAGAAAAAGTAGGAGAGCTAGTTATAAGCGACCCTCTAGCCGAGGCAAACCTCACATGTTTCGTCATAGACACCTAAGATGCCGACACTTGGTTACCCCACCCTGCACAGCCTGTTTCTGAAATTTAACGCTGCCCTTCTATCGAGCGCGTTGGTGGAACGCGTTTTTAGCTCTGGCTGGAAATGTTTTTAGGGAAAAAAAGGGGAAAACTCTCCAATCAAGAACTTTGAAAGTCAATTGCTTCTACGAGCGAATAAACTATTTTATGACAATGCAAGTCATAAAATGACTGCATTTATTTTAGGCTCGCAGGGTGTTTTACGAATCAAAACAGCTATTCATTTCGCTACGACAAAATATGAAAAGAAACTTCGAAAGTAACTTCAAAGTAACTCGCTACTTTTTTTACAGTAGTTAGTAGTTAACTCAATTACTATTACAAATGCGTAATTTCTACTCTACTCCAATTACTTTTTGGCGTCGATACTCAGTAACTTAACTACCTTTTTTGAGTAATTTGTACATGTCTGGTAGGGATGCATTTTAGAAAATACAGGTA